CTCGTTTTGTTTTTTTTTTTTTTTTTTTTGTTGAAGGTTAATTTATTTAAAAATATTAGTAGTTCACGAGTTTCCTGGCAGTGGCACCGCTCTACTCTGCTGAAAACAAAAGTTTCGAAGAAGCACCTGATTGAGAGATAAGAAATGGCTCTGGCATCGGCGTTGAGCATCTCAGTGCGTTTCCCACAGCAGCGGTGGCCCACTCTCTCGAAGCCCACCAAAGCAACTATTTCCTTTCCCACTGCCTCCGCTCTCTCCTCCTTAAAGCAACTCAGCGTGGGCCAAGACTTACCCGCCAACTACGACCATTGGATTCCCAAGCCCAACCCCGAGCTTCGCAGGAGATGCGGCATTTTGCTCCATCCGACGTCGTTTCGCGGCCCCTACGGCATCGGCGATCTCGGCGACGATGCCTTCCGCTTCATCGACTGGCTCCACCACGCCGGTTGCTCCGCCTGGCAGGTTCTTCCTCTCGTCCCTCCCGGCAGAAAGGCCAACGAAGAAGGATCGCCTTACTCTGGCCAGGTTAGGTTAGCTTAGGTTTCACTTCGTTTTCGCTCACTTCTTTTGATGCAATGCAACCCTTCTTTTTCACATTTTCCTTTTCAGGACGCCAATTGTGGAAACACGCTCTTGATCTCTCTTCAAGGCCTTGTTGAGGATGGATTGCTGGAGAAACACGAGCTTCCCCAACCAATGTGACTCAGCCACGTGGTTTTCACTTTTCACTTCTCACTTTTCACTTTTACTTCTCTGTCTTATGTTTAAACGAATGCAGTGATGCAGAGCGCGTGAATTTTTCACTCGTTGCTGATCTTAAGGATCCTTTGATAACTAAGGTAAGGTGTTTGTTTACAATTGTATCGTTCTTAGAACTAGTCTCGACACAAGCTTAGATGAGTTTTTTTCAGCGCTTCAATGAGGAAAATGCTATTTATGTTCTCTAGAGAAGCTCATTTAAGCTTGTATCCATACTCTAGTACGCACCTCTACTACTTTTTTTTTCTTCATTTTTTGTGACTCTTCCTTTGTTGCATAGCCGTTACTCTATTTTCTTTACATCGTTGGATTTTTCAGATCCTTTTGTGTGTCTGGATTTTTATATTATTTTTCTTCTTGTTGAAATTCTCTGTGCAGGCTGCAGAGAGGCTCATTTCAAGTGAAGGGGAACTCAAAACACAGCTTGAGAATTTTCGCAAGGACCCAAATATATCGAGTGAGACACTCATTTTGTTGCAATTCTAATTTTGTATGTACGGATACCTGTTAAATTCAGTGCTTTGCCTTTGAAATAATAATAATTGCGTAGACGATTGTTTTATAATTTATACTACTTTCATGTACGGTACGGTAAGCTCGTGTGCATATTTTTCCTTGTTCTTTTGCCTTCTTTCTTCCCACGGTTTTGACTTTTGAGGGATTTGATCCTCCTGTTTTGTGATACTTCCTCTCTTAGTATACCTCATTTATTGAAAAGATATTCAACTGGAAAAATAAATAAAATCTGGAAGCTTGTTGTCATGGGAAATTCCAATTAAACACAATTCAACATCTATAAATTCTACTTGATTCCTGTTCCATGCTTATGCCGAGATAATCAATTTAAGCTAGAAGCAAGTAAATATATGAATACTTATGTATGTTTCTTATGGATTCTTGCATGGTGGAGACGGCTTAGGGATTTTAAGATTATGTGTCGCAGAAATTGGAAGAAAAGAAAAATTAGGATTTATGGCAGTAATAACTAAAGTGCTGAAGGGACAGAGGTCTTGAACATTGAGAAATTTCTTATGTGTTTTTTTTCTGAAGAGTATGTGAGGATACATTCTTCTATCTGAACATTACCTACATTA